GTGTACAGTTGATTTATAAAAGCATAGGTCTGTTACTTTGAGAAGTGGTCACTGAAATACTTTAGTCAGGCAAGTCATCAGTCACATAAATGTGAAAGCCACAGAACCTTACCTCTCTAGTGGTTGAAGAAGGAAGAACAAAACCTTCCACAGAAAGTCCATGACACTGCAAAACAGAAAAAAAAGAACATGCTGTCACCAAGGATAGGTCAACAACTGGGAAGCTGTAAGGAGACACTTTGTATTTCTAAGTGTGCTTCACGGGACATACGCTGAGTAATCACAGATCAGTGAGAGGCCCTGCAGCCCAAGTGCCCTTGTCGCGGGGTTGTGATTCCTAAGTGCCAGGATGCAGGGCTGGACTACAAGAGACCAAGGTACATCCTCTACTTAGGGGAGTGGAAAGGGTAGAGTAGATCTACCTTCTGGTAATAGGCTAGCCCCAAATATTCGGAAACTACCTGGGAGGATATCATGCTAGGTCCCAGAGCCATCACAAATAGGCCTTCAGAAAGATTTTTAGGCTGCAGGAAAAAAACTCAAGACATGAATTTATCAGACATGTACCATTACTACATTTTCAAGTTAAGCATCCCATCCACCCACAAGTACTCCGACGCTGCTCTACTTTTTCCATTTCTTTTTTTGAGATTTGCTTTACTGCTTTATTGTTTTTTTCCCCCATTTATTATATGGTGAGTATATCCCCAAGCCATTATGTGTTCTTTTGCAATATGATTTTTTTATTTCAAAATATTAACAGGGTACAAAAGCTTTTGTTACATGGATATACGCTATAATGCTCAAGTCTTTCAGTATAAAATTCTATATACTTTACTTATTTACTATGTTTACTATTGTTTGTTTCTCCTACCTAGTAGAATATAAATTACATTATATTGTTATATATATATACACAATATATGTTATATTGTTGTCTGTTTTGGTCTTTGCTGCATGAGCACGTAGAACATTGCCTGGTGCACAGTAAATGCTCAACAAATATATAAATGAATGATACTTTATCTTCCCCCTCACTGTCAACTCAATTATTAAAAAGCAATGGGAATTAATGACTTGCCATTTTAGATTTTAAATAAAATATTAAATATTAAACAACCATATATAAAGATTGTAATCCAATAGGTTTACTCACTCTATTAGACTCTTCCATCCCATGTTCCATATGCCAAATGTCTTTTTACAGAGAATTACAAGCCTCCAAACATATGTGCAAAGATTATGTTACATTACTACTCAGAAAGGAATACAATGAAAAAAACAGAGGGCATATGTTTTGCCTCTTAGGTTAGGATCCCAAGTCCAGGTTTTGATTCTGCCACAAAATACCCAATCTTCTCAGTCAGACCTTTTTTTTTCATTTCAGGCTATTATGGGGGTACAAACATTTTGGTTACATGTTAAGACTTTGCCTCACCCAAGCCAGGATTAGAGGCGGGCCCTTCCTCCATACAATGCTCAGTCAGACTTAAATGTTCCTTCTTTGCATTCTTACAGCCTTGTGGTTTTGAATCTTTTTTTAACACATTTTTGCCTTCCATCATAGATGCTTTTTAAGAAGGTAACTATAGATTAAACCCTTTGATAACAAAGAATAGATATTTTACATGGTATCTGGGATAGAACAGCACCTAATCCATGTCTGTTTAATTGTACTGCCATAATCTTTGCATAACTGGAAAGATAAAATATATATTTGTCACCATTGTGCTATATAAGTTAACTGGAAGGAAAGCAAATTCTTAGTATCTTTGAAAGGAAAATTGCCAGAGGTGATAGTCTGAGAAATCAACTTTCACCTTTCCAAAACATCACCTGATTCTGTCCCTGGAAGAATATCTGTGCAGAGAGGAAAAACATAACTAAAGGTTTGGAAGTCCTGGATGAAGTGCTCTACAGGCCCTTATCAAGGGCAATGAAGCAAATAGTAGCACCTAAGAAACTATGAATGAGACCTATGAATGAGCACAATAGTCTTAGCCCTCTAAAATTGTCACCACTGTAATGGTATGACATGCCCTTAAATGTCTTTGGCCAAATAAACTCTGAAAGAAAAACAATTTTTGGTCATACCATGAGAATCTTTGGACTATTAGCATTATTATGACTTTGCATTTATTTAGTAGTTTTCATTCAAGAAAAAATATAGGTAACAGCTCCTTACACAAACTCCCAGGGTCTGCATTTGTTTTACTATAGTGACATTTGGTTATAAATCGAACATTGCTACAATTAACATTTCCAGTTTCCAATAGCTACAAAGTGAGCTCCTTAGCACCAAATTCATTTGATTAGTAGCAAAGGTACCACAATGCCCCAAAATGTCTAATTATGGCCAAAAGCAGAGAAGTGATGATTTTAAAAATCTACATTTAGAAACAATACCACAGCGACAATAATGGAAAGAGACCAAATGATGAATAACGACACAGTAACAATCCAACTGTTCCATTTTTATGTTTTCTTTTTTCCTTTTATAAATACAAGTTTTATTTTTGTCTTTGGAAGTTTTTATCACACACATATACACATATGCATTTTGTATATTCATATAAAGAAAAATATAAGTGAAATAAATTGGTTAAGGTATTACTAAAATGTTTTCCAGAGTCTAAATCTTCTGAATTATTTTGCATTGAGTCATCAATGCCCACATTTGTCCTTATAATATAATTTTCTGTGTCATCAAGAGTGTTGGCAATTCTCTTATCCTTTTTTTTTAATTTCCAAATATTACAGGGGTACAAATGTTTTTGGTTATATGGATCGCTTCTGTGATGCTTGAGTCAGGGCTATAAGTGTGCCCATCACCCAGATAATGTTCATTGTACATGTTAGGAAGCTTTTTGCCCAGCCCCACTTCCCCCTCCCCCCTGCTTAATTTCCACTGAGGTTTACTTCCCTCTGTGCACATGTGTGCTCATTGGTTAGTTCCAGTTTAATAGTGAGTACATGTGGTATTTGTTTTTCCATTCTTTAGATACTTCTCTTAGGAGAATGGTCTCTAGTTCCATCCAAATTGTTGCAAAAGGCATTAATTTGTCCTTTTTTTT